ACTCTCCTCCGCCCCCCCAAAACCTCTCCTCCGCCCCCGCAAAACATCCCCTCAGCTCCCTTTCCCAAACATTTCTCAGATTCTCGCTCCCACCGAGAAGTCTCTCAGAACCTTCCCTCCCCCTCCAAAAACTCCAAAAACATTCCCAAGGTCTCGCCCCAAAACATCTTCCCTTCCGAGCTCTTCCTCCAAAATTCCACTCAAACTCCCCTCACCTCAACTCCACACTGCCTCTAGCCTTTCCTGGGGTGCGCCCGCCGGTTCTGCCGGGTCGCCCGTGGGTGCCCCGACCCCTCGGCGGGGCAGGCCATTCACTCCGGGGGCCCTCCTCTCCCCTCTCCCGCCAGCCCACCCCGGCCTCCCGCGCTGTGCTCTCGCCGCCTCCCAGCGGACCCCTCACCTCGGCGGCTCCGGCCCGCGCTCCCGCCCGCGGAGGGCTCCGGCGATCTGCTCCCGGCTGCCGGCGCCTCCTCCGGCTCCCCGGGACTGACAATGAGGGGCAGGCCTGCAGGGTGACGTCAGCGGCCCGGAAGGCGGGGCCTGCGGCGAGGGGTGGGGCTGAGCTTTACGCCCCGCCCCCTCCGCCCTTTTTTTTTCGCTTGCCGGGACTTGGATTCCGCCAAGTTTTTATTGCCCGCCTAGCTGGGTGCCCAGGGCCTGTTGTAGGCGCTGTGGGAAATCAAAATGGAAGACAAGAAAGACATCCTGCTTTCAAGAGGGGCATTCTCTGGAGGGTTGTGAGGATTAAATGAAATAATCCATGAAAAGGTGTTTGACCCAGGGCCTGGAATGGAGTAATCACTCAACAAACACTGTTTCTATTACTCAACAAATGTAGAAAAGGAACTCAGCTTGGACTCAGGAGGCATGGGTTCCTGTCCCCAGCTCTGCTATTAATTCATTGTGTGATATTAGACAAGTCCTTTCTCATCCCTCACTTTCAACTTATTTAAAATGAGAAGAGATGATTACCAGATGATCTCAAAAGTGTCTCCAGTAATTCTGTGGACCTACTATGTGCAAGATACCTAGGGCCCAGAGAAGTGGGAGAGGAACTTTTGAAAGGAGCCCAAGCCCCACACCCAGCATGGTATAGCATGGTACACAGCCAGAGACACTCTCTTGGTAGATGCCTTCCCACATGCTGGCACAGAGCTGCATTCACAAGCCAAGGCACAAATGTGCTAAGGGTTGCTTCCTCTCTGACTACAGCAGCATAGCTGGTCTCTTGAGACATCTCTTGTGTAAGCTCCTTATTGCCAATGGAATAAAGGCCAAAGCCCTGGCCTGGTCTGATCTCTTCCTACCTTTACACACACACACACACACACACACACACACACGCATGCACGCGTGCACACACACAGTAACGTTTATCCAAACTTCTAGCACACCCACTGCTTTCCCACATCTACCCCATTGCTCATGCTCTTCCCTTGCTGTCTCATCTCATCTTACAACTCCTAGTTTTGCTCAGCCAGAAGCTGACTCCCTGTTTGAAATATCCTTGCATTGTTTAACTCTCCTATAGACATCCACACACTTTAACTTGTATCAAATTGACCTCCCGTTTGCTTCTTAGCACTTCCTCACTTTTTTAAGGTCAGAATCCACTCATGTTTCAAAAAATGATATAGTTGTCATTGTTATTTTCATCATTATTATCATCAATATTATTTCTAGCTCATAACACCATATAGCATCTTTAGTGATAAACTACCCAATCATTTCAGAGTGGAAAACTTTGAGGTCCCAAGCGAAGAAGAGGCTCACTGAAGAGCATTGCTACTGGAACAGGAACCAACACTCCAATTTCTAGACCCCAGGGAGATTCTGCAGAGTCATATCTGACACCCCAGAGTATCTGTCACTTGGCATCCCTCCAAAGTGGGGACAATTTCGAGTTCTCTCTGCAAGTTCTTTGCAACAGAGCTGACCCATTTCTCCCTGTGTCTTTCTCTTCTTGCTTTCCTTACAGAGAGATGGATCTGTGTTAAACTGCCCTTGGCATCTCCGCAGTCTCTAGGAGAGCTGCAGCAAGGAACTGGGTGGTTCCAGAGTCCTAGCCTGTGGGAAGAGGGAAAGGGTTTGGGGATTCTAATTAATTCCCTGTGCTGTGAAAAGGCAAATGGCTGTCCTAAAATGCCTGGGCTGGTCCTCAAGGGCCCCTAACAAATTGAGGCTTATTTTTAGACTAAGAGATTCAAAATGCCACTTCTCATGAAAAGCAGGCATGGCCGCAGGATTGCTTCAGGCAAAGAAGGGGCCTTTACTGTGTCCTTCCTATGTGCTGATGCTGATGCCAAACATTGCAAATCCTTGGAAGAGAGAACTCAGGACATACAGGGGAGGTTCTGAAGACAGAACTTTCCATTTATTCATTCACAGCAAACGCTTTGGCACAGGACAGATCAGGATTCAAATTTCAGCTCCACCACTTACCAGTTGTGTGACCTTGGACTTTCAAGTCTCTGTACCTCAATTTTTCATCTGAAAATGGGAATGATATTAGTACCTATCTCATACGGTGCCTTTAAGGATTAAATGAAATAACATGTGAAAAGGCTTAGTTCAGAGCCTGGCACCTAGTTTATACCAAGAAATGATGTCTGTTGTTAATCTTTCAACATATCCTCCCTGTAAGACCTCTCCTGTGCTGGATTCTGGGTTGAAAGTACGGTTAACTAATAGTCCTGACCTCAAGAAGCTCAGCTGGTAAAAGGAATGAGGTAGATTTTCATGAACAGGCAAGAAAAGGTGTCTACTGGGTATTGTTAATGGCAAGTCTAAGCTGCAGAATTACAGGTGTAGCAGGATCCCATGATTATAATTTACAATGTATGCTTAATATATGCATAAAAATATAGAGAACTAAATAGGAGGCTTTCGCCCTTTTTCTTACTTTTTGATTTGCTTTTCCGCGTGTGTGTGTGTGTGTGTGTGTGTGTGTGTGTGTGTGTGTGTGTGTGTGTGTGTGTGTGTGTGTGTGTGTGTGTGTGTGTGTGTGTAGCAGGAACTTTGAAAAAACACTCTACTAGATGCTAAGAGGGAAGAAAGGGGATAAAAACACAGCTAAAAGAAAAATCAGCAGTGGGCATGTGAAACAACTATGAATATTGCCATAGAAAATTCCACAGGTCACATTTCATTCTTCATGGCATTCCAGGAAAAGCCCCTGCCCAGACAATCCTCACTTTCTACCCCCTCCCCAGCCCTTAGCTGCATTTGAACTTTCAATGCTACAGCTAAAAGCAAGACTCCTAACAGAACTCCCAGGAACCATGGCAAAGCCAGTATGAGATATTTTAAGCAAGAAGAATTTTGTTTGCCCCCTGTCCTGTGTCTCTCCCCCACCGCCCAAAGAATAACATATATGTCACCATCTTGTACCTAATGTGCCTAAATTTGCACTTTCATTTTCCTCATGATAGGAATTTAAATTTTTTACAAGGCAGAAGTATTACTTAGTCATCAGAAAAAAGGTAGTAAAGATATATATTTTTAAAAAGCTAACCAAGCTGAAGTTGTTTCACTTTTGTTGGTTTGCAAACAATAAAGTATAACAATGTGGCTGAGGAGGTGCTAAGCCTCACAGGAATCATAGAAAGTGAGAATGGAAAGGAATAAAATCGCCCTCAATTCCTCCTCCCATTCCCTGTATGACATGATTTTAAGTCCCTTACATTGCAGGTCACTGACCAATACATATATTTCATTCATTCCTTCAACAAACACTCATGGATCCTTTACTATAAACCAAGTATCACATTGAGCACTTTATAGATACTATCTAATATAGGTTACAGGGATCAATATTTATATCTTGCAGTTTAGGGAAACAAGGCTGAAGGAGGTAAAATAACTTACCCAAAGTCTCACATCCAGTGGGATCTAAACCAAGACCTTCACAACATCAAAGCCCAATTCTCGAAGCATGTGGATTGAATTCCAAAGCCAGCGAGCTATGCACTGAGGCAGCCATGGTGGTCTGGGTGGCCTTGAGCAAGTCACTGACCTCTTCTCAGCAGAAGTTTCCCCATCTCTGCAGAATAAGGCCATACCTGGATATTCTATGTAACTTAAGCCCTTTGTCAGTTGTAACACATAATACAAAGGGAAGTTGTTATGTTGGCTCTTCTGGAACTGAGTCCCATTCATCTTTGGATCTCTTGGTGCTTTCCTCATTAGTGTGTATCCCCATTAAAATTTATCCCCCATTTAATGTATTTAGGACAATGTTCCTTGCATGATCTCCTATTATTCACTCCCACTAGCCTGGGACCTTCTCATGGACAGAAACGATGCTTATTCATTTCTGATCCCTTTCTGCCCTCAGTACAGCGTCTGCCATGCAACCCTCCATTCCTTCACTCTTTTATTTATTTCATAGCAAATGGCTGGGAGCCTAACATGTGCTATAGGCACTGCGCAGACTGTAAGACAGCAAAGGTCCTTGCCTTCTTGGAGCTTATGACTGGGGTGGAAAGGCAAGACGACATTAAACTCAATTAATTACTTCATTACAACTGCATTAAATGCCACAAAGTATTAGGCCAGTTGTTATGAGGGCTTCTGGGACTCAGAGTGGGGAACTCAATCCGGGACACACGTAAAGCTTCCTAGAGGAAGTGGCCTTGAGACTCAGAGAGGTTAAGAAATTTGCTCAAGGTCACAAAGCTGCTAAGTGGAAAAACTGAGATTTTAACCCAGAATGCCTGACTCCACAGCCCATGCTCCATCTACTACCCAACACTGCCTTTTATCCCTTCCATCTTGTTCTTCCCTGGATCTTATTGGTGAGAAAGGAGCAAGATCTGTCTAACACTGGATGCTCTAAACCAATGTGTTTTCCAGCTTTGGGGATCAGGGACCCCTTTGAGAATTTGGTGGAATCCATGACACCTCCCCCAGAAACTACACGTATACAGACAGCCTCACAGAATCTTGCCTAGAATTTCAGAAGGTCCAGCTTGAGAACTCATATCATGGACCTTATAGTGAGATTATCAGAACCCCAGAAAGAGACACCAGGGCCCATGGGGACCTCAATCCCCACACAGACCCCGGGACCCTATAGATCTAAGAGAAACATCCCAGGATCCTGTAGAGACCCCAAGTCCCTCCAGAGTAACAGCAGCACCTTGCAGAGATATTCTCAAAGATGCTATAGACCAGTAGAGGAACCTCAGGTCCTCTTAGAACCCGACTCCCCACAGAGGAACCGCAGGGCTCTGGCAAGCTGTGGTTCTTAACCCTTTGGGGGTCATTGACACCTTTGAGACTGAAGAAAAATGCAACACACAACATGTTACACACAAAATCAAAGGGTCACGGACCTCTGGGAGGCCATCAGCAGCTCCCAGATTCAAACCTCCTGTTCTTGAGCTTCCGCAAGAACCTGAACCCTCCCGAACCCGAACTAGGACCACAGACTCAAAGCAAAAACTTTAGAGGCAAAACAGACCACGGGGCGAATCTTGGCCCTGACGTTGACTAGCCATGACCTTGGACCACTCACC